GTAACTATAAGCACATCCAAATACGTATTATCATCAGTTATAGAATTAATATACTCGGATAAGCAATTTTTACAATAAAGTTGGCTAAATATACGTGTCCTAGAGTATTTATTTCCACCATGACATTTATCACCCAGTTTGTATTTAAAAGGAATAAACGTAATTGGTACAGGACTGGATTTTAATTTTGGAGTTGGATCAATAGTAGTAATTTCCATATTTAAGAAAGTTAAAAAAAAATAGAATAGTTTAAGACATTTTATATTTAATTAATGTTACACAAAACGTTGTCCGACATGCATGTTCTTTATCGAATGTCCAATTTAAATTACTAGAGATCAACAATTCTGTAAATTTTGAATTGGGATTGCCATTATGAATGTTTAGCAAGGGGCCACTTTATTTAGCAAATCCTAGTATACAAAAAATAAAAGAGAATATATAAAAATTATTATACACATTTTGTCTAACTAGCCGACCAGCAGCAAATTCTTTGAGACTATATGCAATATTTTCTCGATAAGTTAACCTATATCATATATTGACGTTTCGGCCGTCTCCTTCGTACTGGGCGGCCACTAAGACACGATCATTCATACTCAAACTAAATAAACATAATCGATTAAAACATACATAAATTATGTTTCCAATTTTTACATTGGACAACAAAAAGTAATCCTCCATCTTCGACTTTATATCGACATCCTGTCGTAAGAACCTCTGTATTACAAATAAAGAATAAAAATATAAAATATATTAATTAATAATCAAAGAATCAAGTTGCGCGTTTACAATCGCGTATGTCTGTACTTTCGATTCGAGATTCTTATATCCTATTCACCATAAATCTCTCAGGCAAGTAATACAATGCAGGGATATCAGAAACGGGAAAGAACGCTCACAGCCGAAATTGTAACCACGCTACGAAAAGCTATTTCCCTGTCATTTTACACCTTGTGGCAGCGTGCTTCAAATACAAAACTACTCGACAAATAACTCTGAAATACTCACCCTTTCCACTCAGGATCCAACCCTTCTGCTATCATTTGCTATCATATTCTCAACAAGTCTTTGTTCTAATTTTCTCCCTTTGGAAACAGAAGAAGTCATTTTGCAAGTTTATTTGGTTAAAAATTTTTATGAAATCTCTATTTAAAATTTTTTGATTTAATCATCCTTTAATTTCCTAATGATAAGATATATATATTCATTATTAACTATAGAAATCGTGTCAAAATACTTTATGTGACTATAACCAACAATCGTGTCATTTTAATTGATCGTTGTTAATCACATTATGAAGAAGCGTTAATTTCATACTTTCATATCATCCTGCAAAGTTTGCACAGATTATCTAGCAATCCCTGCTTTATGGAATGCGAGAATCAACCAGTATAAAAAAAAAATAACCAAAATAATGAGTGCGAGAGTGAGAAGAAGGTGAACTTCATTAATTTTATTGAAAAGTTCATCTAAAAAAAATGCACTTTTATTGGTTCGAGCATGTTAAAATGACCTTTTAAACTCTATAAAACACGAAAAGCGAAGAACCGTTGTAACCATACTTTAGGGTAAAGAATAAAGGCAGTTATTTATGTTTTTTACCTCCTGTATACAATTGTTCACCAGCTCAGTTCTTTAGTTGCTATTTCTAATACTATAATATGCTATGATTCTTAACCATAAATTTCTTGCCATAAGCATTATCATAAATGTGAACTTTATATCGAAGTTTTAGTAAATAATATAAAAAAAAGCGTGTAATATTACGAGAAAGGTTATTGTAAGTATTTAATGTATTGAAAAAAATTTTCCCAAAAATCAATTTTTATGCATTACAAGAATAACAAAATTACGATATATTTTATTATGGAAAACTCTGTTCACATGACATACTCAAATCATCCCCTACTATTGATTAACTGTATAAAGAAACGAGTAAAGTATTATTTAGACAAATTTTTTATGAGACAACTGAAAAAGATTTTAGTAACTAGAAATAGTCGCCTTTTGGTTAGCTATTTAAAAGTTTTTGAATTGAAAAAATTTTCAGCAAAATTTTAAGCTAAAGCCTGTGAAGTAAAAGTAAAAGCTGACAAAAAAATGTTTTTTCCTCAATGCTAAATTTCGAAGATGTCAAAATATAAAAATTACCATCACTTTAAATTCTGATACGTGAAAAAAGTTTCAAATTGTAGGATCATGGTTTTTTTGCGATTATTCAAGAAACGATCATGTCATGATGAAATTCTTCAGGATTAGTCCAATATGCCATAATGTTGCATAAAACGTTGAGTTTCTGCAAACCTTCTGAAATTTACTTCGTTGGAAAGTTTCGAGAAATTTCTTTTAATAACAGCAGTTAGGAGATCTATTTTTAATCACGTATATATTTGAATCAATTTCTTCAAAACACTTTTCTCTACTTCAGCATTAAATAAGCGATAAGGTTGCGTTGTATCAGTACCTCCAGTAACAGCTTTCATGAAGTTACCAACGATAACTTCATCTGTCATCGGTTCGGTATTATCTTCATCCAATGGAGTATTATTAATTTCTTTCCTTTATACACAAATAATATAACTCATTTTGCAAATTGTCACGTTCTTTCAGTATTTGTTCGACTGGACCATCATTAGGAAAATAACGAATAAATTCACAAGTAATATATTAAACTATATGCTTATGAATTCTTTGAATTCTTTTAACAGTATAATCAGGTGTGTAACCTATCATTTTGAAGAAGGTTATTGAAATAATTTGCCAACACGTAAATTTTTATTTGATACAATCCTTTTCAATAACGTTTATCTCTTCAAGATTTCTTTCGGTGCATACCAAAATTTTTTTAATAGATTTTGGAGACAATTATCATGAAAAATTTACGATACGTATCAAAGTTTTTATTAAATATTATTCTAATTTTTGAATAGACGTATTCATCTAAACATAATTTGGCGGCGAACGGTAAATAAAGTTACTGAAATTCGCATTTCCTAATCCGATTTATTACTTGGATGTTCAAGGCAGAGATCCCAAATTTCACCATACTTCTTTTGGCTTCTCTAGAGAATTATGTTATGCCTCCAAGTTGATGTTTGTTCACGATAAATGGACGTGGGACTGGACCAGGAATTGGGTTTGTTGTATACATGGGGTGAATTAGGAAAAGACAATGTCGAAATATTACGGCAGTGAAATCATTATTCTGCCGAAAATTCAAAACAAATTACACCGCCGTAATGCCGAATTGCCAAATTGTCAAATTGTCAAGTTAATATGAATATACTGCCGCAATGCTAAATTATGTGTTAATAGTCTTAAAAAAAAAAATAATAAATTCACTAATTTGGAATCATCGATAGAATAAGATGATGTGTTTATCATTTTTTTTTTAAAAAAAAAAAATAAAAAAAAAAATATACTTCCCTCGCTTTGTGTATGCCAAAGCTCCTCTGAAATCCTGAAATCTTGGATTGAATAATAGATCAAAGTAAAATTTTCGTTTTTTTTCTTTTAAAATAAAAATAACTTGTAATTTTATTGAATCCAACAAATTTATTGATTTCATCCAATACCACTTCCATCAGGTCGTGCAAAATTATGATAATGACTGGTTTTAATGTTTTTTAATTACGACCTAACCCGATCGAATAATTAATTCGGATCTATAACCGCCTATACATACAATGTACTACTTATTCCTTTACTTAAGATTTGGGAAACTAATCTCTCGGGAGAAGGGATGTCCCTTGCGGATCAGAAGTTGGGGTTAGATTTCACATCATCGACCATGACCTAAGTTTATTTTTCGTCACCATGACCTTTTTTAAATATAATTCCAAAAAAAAAAACAACATAATTCATTTTTGAAAGTAAATGAAAATTTAATTTCTTTGAATATAACAAAACAATTTTATCGTAACAATCAGCACAATAAATACAGAATCCATGTGGGTTGATAGTACAGTATTACGGCATTGAGGCCGTCTCGCCATCAATGTTTGACCCATTAGAATTGGATTGGAGAATAATCCATTGAAGTAAGATTTATTGCATAATAGCCATCGCATTTTTTAAAATCGGTGGAAGAATCTTCAGGTTTTCGCAAGTCCAATGGAGTTGATTTGATTGATGCGAAAACACAGACTAAAAATTATTATTCGATTTTTTTTTAAAAAACTTACTTGCTTATAATATAATTCGAAAATGGAAGAAACTATAAATATTTTCTTTTTAATGATTGAAAGTAGAATAACAATTACGATTAATTAAATTTTTCTAATAGTAATAATTTATTTCCTTTATTTGAAACTACAATAAAAATCAACATGCATCAAGAACTGTTTACATTGCTTTTTTTTGTAAGATTCTTCATGCAGGATTTCATTGTTTATTGCATAAAAAATTACGCAGTAATTAAAATTAGCCTTTTTATCTTAATATGAGAGATTAGAATCCATTGCATAAAATATATCCTTCAACTTTTTCATTAATAATTAATGAATTAATTTTTACCATTGTTTCGAATTAGTCAATTGTTTAAAGCTTGAAGATTTCATCATTTAGCTCGTATTGTTATTGCCCAGATAGAAGAATACTTGATTAATTTTGTGTGGCGATTAATCGGACTAATGAAAATCGATTTACAATAAAGTCGTTATCATCGAATTTGAGATTCAAAATCATTATTACAATCAACTTTCGATTTGGCAATTTTCCAACTTTTGATTATAATTCCTACGCAGATTACAGGGAATTCTGGAAAGAACAAACGCATTAACTTTTATCAAAGGTTGAAGCCTTTTTTTATTATTTACTAGGTAACGGGCACCGTTGGAGTGTCCGAAGCGTTAACTCACAATGGGTACAATCAGGTACATATGTCACTGCAAAACCAAATTTACTTTTATTTAAATCCAGATGGCATCAGTAGAATTTACTTTTATGGTAAGCAAAATTAGAACGGAAAACGTGACAGAACAACAACACATCTTATTGGCCAATCACGCGTGCGGACAGACGGACAGACACAACTTGCATCACATAGAGTCTAACCGTAAATGTCCGAAGCGTAGCTGAGGACAAATTATTATAAATTTTAGATTCGTCTCATTTGTGGATTTACTGGTTGATTGTTCTTACGAATTCTGAGTTACTAAACCCTATTTTTTGCTATAATAATGTCATTTTTTTCTAAAAGATGTCCTTTAAAGGTCACAAATCGTTCAGCATATCTTTTAGCGTAATTATAAAAAAGTAATGTTTTGGTTGTTATTCATAACCTATTATTTTATTATTGTGATTTTATTAGTATTTTGTAAATTAATAAAAACATTTTTTAGTGATATAAAGGAGAATATAGATCAAGAAAAGAGAACTTTAGCCATTCGTTCGAGGCGTAACATCACCTAGAATCGAAAATAATAACAAATAATAACGTAATAATTAATGCATAATCATTAATGTTAAATGAATATTATAAATATTTTTATAAAAAAAAAAATTATTTACATTCTTGATAAATTCTTTTAGTAATTTTTATTTCTAGAAATTTTTCAAAAAAACAAATGAAGATCTTTAAGAATTTTTTTGAGATAATGGAAATATCATGTAAATAATAATTGGTCTCATTTTTTCTAAAAATCAAATGGACTTTGAGATTTTAATTAAAGAGAAATGTCAAAATTTATAATTTATCACTAGTCCCTCAAAATTACATTAGTAAGATTATATGATAAATAGTTATAAATAATTTATTATATAATATAGAGTATACATTTTATAATTCTTAATAAATTATATCATAAATATAAACAATCATTAATAATTTATAATGTAATAATCATATATATTTTATAATTCTTAATAATCATATTACAAATATAATATAATTCTTTTAAAACTATAAGAAAATAATCTATTAGTATGATAAAACAAATTAATTATAATTCCAAATTAATTTTAAAATAATCATAAAACTAATTTCAAATCCTAAACCCTAAACCCTAACCTATTTTATAATCTTTAATTTTAAATCTTAATCCCTAATCCTGAAACTAATCCTTAATCCTAATATCAAGCCAGCCATAAACCTTAATCTCTAATTTATTCTCTAATTTCTGATCCTGAACTTTAATTTCAAATCCTACTTAACCATAATCCTAAAACTTAAAACAAACTCGAATCTTACCTTATAATTCTTTTGATAATAATCAATACCTTCATATTTTTTATATGAATACTTATATATTATTTATTTTAGGTTTTGATACTTCATGTATTTATTTAAACCTTTTAGTATTTACTGGATAACTATTTCTTTAATATATCTTTAGATTTGCAATTAAGTTATAGTAGGATCAATATTTTCCTTAATATTTGAATCATTATCTTGCTACATATTATCTGAATCATGTTCATTAATATCATTATTTTCTGCAAAATCTTTAAAGCATATCTATTAATTGCTAAAATAATATTTTATTTTGTAATGTTTTATGAAGAGCTTTCTTATATATGCTATTAATGTTTTTATAAACTATCTTTTATTTAAAAGTAATTAAATACTACTCTCAAAAATCTATACTTTCTTATTGATCAAGTATTTTAGCTATCATATTTAAAAAAAATTTATCTACTATTGAAAATAATTCATTAACTCCATTTTCTTAATACAATAATAACATGATGATAGCATATGAATGTAAAATATCATATTACTTATAGTTAGTATTACTTAAAAGTAACACTTACATATAATATCACATCTTATAATAAAAAGATAAGAATATAAATAAAATTGATTTTTTAATAACATTATATAATAGGTATGTTAAAAAAAATTACTAATATTAATTGCTCATATTTTGTAATATTATATAATCTTACAAAATTAATTATTTAAATCATTTGCTTAAATAAACTTATAATTCATTAATATTAAATTTATTTAAATAATTATTTTATTATTAAAATAATAATAATATTTTACATCATATTTTTTTAAAAGACAATTTCATTTTACTTATTTAATTATACTATTCTACAATTTCTGTATTATTAAATTTGTTTTATAATAAATTAATTGATTAATTTCATCCTATTGTAGTTACCATAATCCTTGTTATACAAATTTATGACATTTTTGAATTTAATAGTTTATAGCTTATACTTTCTTAACTATTTTTTCCACTTATCATCAAGAAAATTTGTTTACAAATTAATATTTAATTGCTTAGAATCCATTTTTATATTTTGAGTAATAATTTATCTTGTAATTATTTTCTAATATTATTATTATCTAAATATTCAATTATTATTTTATTATATTTCTTCTTATAAACTTTCTTATATTATTATCATTCTTCTTATAATACTTTCTTATATTATTATCATTCTTCTAATAATTTTTTCTTATATTATTATTACTTTTTCTTGTATTATTTCTTTATTATTATTACTTTTCTTGTATTCTTTTTACGTCAATATTATCCTTTCTATAATATTTTCTTATATTATTATTTTTATTTTCATAATTTTGATAATATAATTCTATATTCTATTTGACATTAATTTATTAATGTTTATTTAACTTAACATTTATAAATAAGCGAAATAAATTTAATTACTTTTATGATTTTACCATTCAATAACTTGTCATTTTAGACAAAAGTCTTTTATTTATTTATGTTTCAAATTTTATTTATTAAAATTATTTCTTTCTTCTTATTTGTATTTTTAAAGGAAATAAAATTAATTATTTTTTCTTGATATAAATTACTTGAGATTTTGATAAATAATAAACATATGGGTGATATGCTATTAAAATTTAGATACGAGATATAATAAATCATATGATCTGTATCTCAATTTAATAGTATACCACCTATGTGATGAATATTAATTACCTATAATAAATAAATTAATTATTACTTAAGGTTCTATTTTACTTATAATTTCTATTAATTCTTAATTCTGAGATATTTTATTTATCCTTTCTTTTTATATATTTTTTATTAATTTGTACTACTTGTTACATACTTTTTCTTCTTCTTATACTTCTTGTAACATTTATTATTATGATATAATATGTTATCTTTATATTACACAAACTTTTTTGTAATTCAGTTTTGTCATTCCTAACTATTGTCATTTTTGTGTATCTTTTATACATATTTATATTACTTTTTTAATTATTATTTATTTTATTTTTTAAGACTTTCTTTAAAACTTTCCATTCAGTTCATTAATTATCTTAATTATCTGATTTCTTAACTATCCATTCAAATCTTTAATTATCTATTTTTTTTTCAGTAACTAATTTATCTAAATTATTATTTTCTGAAATGTATTTATCTTTCTTTTTAGTTCATAGTTTATCTGTGTATTTTTCTTTTTCTTAGTAAAATAATTATTCCTTCTTTTATTACAAAATTTTACTTATAATTTTATTGAATCATTATCATACATATTACTATAAAATATTTGTAAAATTATTAGGTAAAATTCTTTAAAGTAATTTATTAACTTTAATGAATAGAGATTAGTTTATCTTAATTTCTAATAATTGAAACTATAAGTCACCAAAACCTATATTTATTTTTTTTGTCTTAAATATCTAATAATCTATTAATCTCTTTTATAAGTTCATATAATAAAATAATTGAATTATATAATAAATATTTTAAATATACATTTACAGATTCAATATATAATAGTAATTATGTCTCTATGAATAATGACAATTGTATTTATTACAGTTTATTTTATGAGTATTATTATTTAAAATACAATCTGAGTACTGAATTCAATTTTTAATTTGAATCGATATCATCTAAAATAAATAGGTTAAAGCAGAATTAATACTTGATTATAGTTATTTAACCATTAGCTACAGTAATAATGGCCAAAATATTTTTTAAGTTTTGATCAGCCAATATATATTTATATATACTAATTTAAGTATTTTAATTTAAATGAGTTAAATAGCAATAACTTGATAATCAGTAATTGTAAAAGGATGAAATATACTTATTAGAATCCTTATAATAAGTTAGTGATATAATAAATATTTTATAAAGTATATTCAAAATATCAAAATAGTTAAAATATTATCATATTACATAATTTCTATATATAAAAGATTGAAAAATAAAAAATATGCAATCTTGGTCAATATTGTCATATTTTTATTTAATAACTACCATTTGATTCTATGTAACTAAACGGATTTAGTAGGCTATCATTCATCAATTTATGATCAGCCAATCTCGAAATAATCATAATTAATTTATTTGTTAAATTATAATTCAATAAATTCTACTTAAAATAAAAGTTTCTGAATTTTAATATTCAATTGTGATTATATTAAGATTGGATAATTCAAAATTAATGAAATTTAACATATTGGATCTGTTTAGTCATGAAGAATTGAATATAGTTATTTCATAAAAATAGAACTATATTGATAAAATTATATATTTTTAATTTTTTAATTTTTTGTATATAAAAAATTATGTGAAATTTGATCATTTTGCTTTTTGGCCATTTACTTTTAACCAATTAGCCAAATTGGCTAATAGCCATATAATTAATCTTGGTCATGATCAAATATTATTACTGGGTTAAGATATTATCATTATTTCATTTACATATAACTATCATTGAATATCATTAAATTTTTAATGATTAAATTAATTGAATACCTATACTATATTATTAAATAATAATTTTTTTGTGACAAATTTTTGTATTATTATATATAGATTTTTTTGAATATATCAAATATTTATCTTTTAAAAATTTTCTCTATATTGTAATTTTTGAACTTACATACAATATTTGATCATAAATTTTATATTACTAATATTACATTGGTAAATTTTTTTTCTTTCTCAAATTCAATTCTTATTTAATCTAATAAGTAATTATGATTATCAATAATTTTATTGATAAATATACAATTTTCAAGATTTTTGATTTTTGAGCATAAAACATTAACTAAAAAAAAGCATTTTGTTTATTTTATACTAGTATTTTTAATGAATTTAATTTATAGTATCTTTTATTATTATATATATAAGTTCTTTTACAGATAATGTGGGAGCTTTGCAATAGAAAGGAAGAAAACTCTAAAAAAATTAAAATTTTACTTTTTAAGCTAATTATGATTTTTTTTGTAAAATAAGTCCAGATTTAACATTAACTCAAAAAAAAATTTTTTTAGAGTTTCCTCCCCTTCTATTGCAAAGCTCCTATATGATTTTTTTATTAAATGCAAACTTTTATAATCTAAAAACTTTAACCTTTAGATTATTTTTAATGTAAAAAAGATTTTCTGTTTATAAAGATGATGATTTAAATTTATTAATTAATATATCATTATCTGTAAATTCTAAATAATTAAAGAAAATAAGCAATAATAACTAATACTTGAATTAAAATTTAAAAAGAATATATCATTAATAAAATCTCTACCTTTCAGATTTTTGATTATAATAAAAAAGATTTATATATAAAAGTCAAATAAAACTATTAAATAAATAGAAAAAAGCTTAAAGAAAAATTACACTTTAAAAATAATGATAATAATAAAATAAATAAAGTTGAACTAATAATTAACAATAATAATTACAAAGAAGTAATAACTAATAATAATAATTAAAAGAAATTAAAAGGTAACAGTTAACAAATAATACAAAAATAAATAAAATCAATAAAATAATAATCAGTAAAAATTAAAAGAAGATAATAAATGAAGTATATATAATAAATTACTAATAATATTAATTAAGAGAAAGAGAAGAAGATGAAAGAGAAAAAAGAGATAAACATAACTAATAATATAATATTAATATCTATATTACATTAAATATAATTTTAATAAATGAATATAAACAAAATATATTACGTAAAAAAGAAAAAACAATGAATTTTTTTTAAATTATCAATTATTATACAATATAACTTTATATAAAGATACATAATTTTCAGAAGTCTAGTAATATATTATATATGTAAATAAATTTAAAATTTTATATATTTTTTTTGAAAATTTATATTTAATCATTTTTTAAAATTAATATAAAAAAAATTATTTTATTTTATTTTTATTATTTAAAGAAAACTAATTATTTAAATATAAATTTATTTTATAAATTTATAACTTTTAAAAAAATTATTTTTATATATATATTATTAAAGAATATTATTATATTAGTTTAAGTATTTTATTATCCTTTTAATGATTTGTTTTCAAATTTAAAAGGAATTTTACTTACTAATTAAAGTTAATTTTAAATATATTAAAAATTAATTAATATATTTATAATAAAATTTTTAAAAAAAAATTATATTAATTAGTAACATTTTAAGATTGAAATTTTGAAAATTTTTTTAATAAAAATATTTGATTTATTAATTAAAAAACTTTATAAAATATAAAATTTAATATTTAAAACATTTATTTATTTATAAAAAAATCATAAATTTTAAGTTGAAAATTTTGTATATATTTAATATTTTAATTATTAAAAATGAAATTTTATTTAAAATTAATAGATTTATAATAAATTTTAAAAAAAATTGTAAGATTCAATATAGAATTTTGCATAATAATTAATTGAAAATTATGAATAAATTTAAAATAAAAATCATTATCATTTAAGAGATAGTTTATAATTACTTTTTATTTGAATTATATTAACGTTAATATTTTCAATTAAATTAATTTAAATTAAGTATTTAAAATTTGATTTGATTAGAAGTAAAGTTGTCTTTGAAACTTTAAAAATAACTATTATTAAGAAAATATTAATAAAAAATATCTTTGCAGATTTATAGATATTTTTGATTAAGAAATCTTTAGTAATTAATATCTCTAAAACTGTAAAATCATTTTTTATTTAAGAAACTTATGTATTTTTATTAAGAAATATTAGTATTAAATATTTTTAAAGTCATAATAGCATTAGTAGTATTTACTAAGTTTTTATTGGTAAAAAAATATCTTTAAGGCTATGAAGTTATTTTTACTAAGTATTTTTTAGTAAAAAATTACTTATAAATTGCAAAGTTATATTTTACTAGGTTTTTCTTAATAAAAATTCTCATAAAGATATTTATTACTAAACTTATTAAATAAATCTTTAAAGATTTTTAATATAATTTACTAATAATTTTTTTTTATTTAAAACATTAGAAATAACTTTTATTTTAATATTTAATTATAAAATTAAAATTTTTTTAATTAATATATGATTTGTATTGATTAGATTATTCTTTGATTTAATTGAAAATAAATTAAAATTCCAAATTGCTTCAATTATTTCAATTATTTAATTCAATTTGATTACTTTTATTAATTTGTACTAAAAATTTTTATATAATAAATAATCAAAAGGTATCACAAAATCAGAGTTGCTCAAAATTTTTTACATATTAATACATCTAAGTATCATTATTTCTTTACATATGATTGTTTTACTAAAGATTATTATATGCAACACTCATATATATCTTATTTTTTTTTTCCTAAAGAACAAAATAAAATTATAAGTTATTACCAAGGTAATTATTTTGTTAAAAATGTAATACATAATTTTAAAGATGTATTTAAAACGTCGTAAGTACATAATTATATAATCTTGAGAAATAAATTAATTCTTTTTATGATTAGACATTAATACAAAAAAAATAAATAGATATAAGTACAGTATTGTATATTTTTTTATTTGAATAACGATATATATAAAATCAAAGAACGTTACACAAAATAATGTGGCCAGCAAATATGTGATTCGCTTGTGATGATAATCTCAAAAACATCCCTCCAAATTAGGTAAAACCTGTTAATCATTCATTTATGTCAAGATCATACTCTTTTGAAATATATCCTAAAAAAAAAATTTATCAATCACTTAGATATTATTTGATTTTTCATTAAAATAGATAATATTACATGCCTGTATTGGATGATTCAGATGAAGTTGTATTAATAGATGACACCTTGGAAATAAGGGATCTTAATGGCCTACTTGTATAAATTGCTTTTGGGTGAGGTTTTTCGCTAAATTCGGGACCAAGTTTTTCTAAACTTATCAATTTTAATCTTTTTTGTTCAGCTAGCTCAAATTGATAATCAGTATTCCAATTACGGAACCTTATACCAATATCAGTTATAGAAGGTCTTTCCGAAGGATCAGAATCCCAACACTTTTTCATTAAATTAGCAAAATCTTTAGGAGTATCCTCTGTAATCTCAGGACGTACTCCATCAATAATATTAAAAATCAGTTTATGATCGTGTTCAACGTTAGTAAAAGGTTTAATGCCTGTTGTGCACTCCCACATTATCATACCCATACTATAAATATCAGATCCTTGAGAAACTAGCTTACCACTCAATATTTCTGGCGCAACGTAAGGAATAACACCATAAATTTCATTATCTAATTTTTTATTCGTAGGTTGTGACGGTTGTGACAATCCCAAGTCTCCAATCAGACATTTAAAATTTGAATCAAGTAATACATTTCCGCTGTGAAGATCACGATGTATATATTTGGCTTTGTGAATACTTTCAAGTCTTTAAAAAAAAAAAAAAAAAAAAAAAAAAAATGGAAAAGGTAATAAGTATCATAGATTTATTAAAATAAAAACGATTTATCCAAATATAAATACCCCTTTGAGATATCTAAAAGAAAATTTAATTTTTTTTTCCATTCAATATTTGCAAAATCCTGTTGTAAATTTTCATGTAAAGTCCCTCTTTTTGCATAAGGCATTACAAGCATATATTTATATGTCTTCGGATCCTTTGTAATTCCATAACATCGAAGAACATAACCATACTTTTCATAACAATAATGAAGTGCTTTTAACTAAAAAATAGATTTAATTTAATTATCGTTTAATAAAAACATTCAATCAAAGTAAAAATTACCTCGTTCAAAAAATATTTGTCAATATATTGTGGATTAATAAATTTTTTGATTGCAACCGTTTCTTTTTTATTTCTATTGTGAGGATGAGATTCAAGTTTACCGCCATTTATCCAAACAGCTTCATAAATCTTACTAAAACCACCTTTGGCAATTTTTTTCTGATTAAACAATTGTTCATAAGGTATCCATTCAATTGCTGTATGATCCACTTTTAAATTTTTAAGAAGGTAATAAATATCCGGTGGATATAAATTTTTGTTTATATTATTGAGTAAATAATTAAGATCAAAATTTTTAAATCTTTGAAGTAATTCATCTATGTCGTTATTTCCACAGATAATATTTTCCACTTGTATGGAAGTTTGTCTCTTGCATTTGTTACAATGAGACTTTTTTGACGGACCAAGAATAATATTTAACGTTAAACAATATCTACATTCTGTATAAATTATACAACATCCGAAACAACATTTCAGACAATCGGTGATAAATGTTAACGTTCTCTCGCAAGACAAACACATTATTAAATTTTCCCACCATGGTAAATAGAGAATTGGGATATATTTTTTGTATGATGATTCTATCCAGCCATAAGAAACTAGATAACAATCCGAACACATGGACTTATCTTTCAACTTTGTTATTTTCAATCTATGATGCTGAAAAATTTCCAAGAAATCTTCCTTAGGGAGCGAAATTATTTCATTAACGTATTGCAACAAACATGTTTTGCAATATTTGTGACTATGCACATATACAAATATATTCGTGTATATATTATCGCAATAATGACAATATTGATCATTTCCTTTGAAAGGCAAAAATTTAATGAAAAATGGGCTAGATTTTAATTTTGGTGTTGGATCGAATTGGCTCGCTTCTGTTTTTGAAACTTGCATTTGATTCTATAAATATGTAAATAAAGAATGCAAAAGTTTTGTTGTTGAAATTTTATAGTTATTTCATTTACGACATTTTTAGTCTTGATCAGCACAGAATACTTTAAAACATACATTGTGGATTGTACGACATGTTTTGACTGTTTTTAGTCTTTACATTACAAATATGGAAATATTTTAAAAAAAATTAGGATCACAAAGAATTCTTTACGGATTTTCCAAAGTCAAAAAAAAAAAATTGCACAAATCTATACACTTTTGATCTTTTGATTTAGTAAGATGCACCATGCTAATGGTTTTTCGGGTACTTTCTGACGAGTTCAATCAAATCTTTATTTATTTAAAAGTAGTTTAATAAAAAAAAATGGGGAAAATGTTCCTAGATTGAATCTAATCATAGATCGATGAATTATTTTATAAGTGTGATCACGTGAAATAAAGTAGCTAATCTGGTGTATCTTGGGATGTATAAAAAGTATAATTGATATTATTTAAATGCACCAAATAAATTAAATGAGGTTGAACATAATTTTCCATACTAAATTTCTAGGAGAGTCAACGTTATTGAAGATTATCTAACCCGAAGAATAAAATTATTTTCTCTAATATCTTAGCTTTATCTTTCCTAATCCTATATTTATATAAAGCAATTATATGTATAAAAATAATTTTAAGAGGTACATATTTGCAAAAATTTAATAGTTATTATATTAATTATAATAATAAAAAATTTCAAAAAAATGTTTTTTCATATATTTATTAATATACTTTAAAGGTGACTGAATACTTTTGGTTAGACAGTATATATAAAGTTGTATTTTTTAAATTTATAGTCATTTTTATAGAATAAGATAAAAATTTTAATTAGTTACAATAAATATTATTAGCACATTTGTAATTATAATGCTTTATTATATTTTAATTTATATAATTAAGACAAAAATAAAGATATAAATCATTTATATTTGATAGGATTTATTTCTTATATATATATATACTTAATTAATAATTTCTATAATTAATTATTGATAATCATTAAGCTTTAAGAGATCAATGTAATTAAAATATCTGAAATATTCTTAAAATAAAAAATCATATTAGATTTATATTTGAAAATTACAAAAAGTAGTAAAAGTAGTATAATTAGTATAATTATAAAAATGAGTTTTCTAAATTTTATTATCAGATCAAAATATTTGTTAAATTAGAAATAAGATTAATAAACATAGAAAATATTTGATAAATAAAAGAATGTAAAAGTAATAGCTAATTTTTATATATAAAAATAGTATAATAGATTTGATAATCTTTATAATCATAGAGAAAATATTAAAACCTTTATATATCTTTAATATATAATTCTTAATAATTTTTGTTAAGCTTTTTTTTTACTTTTACATTACCAACTAAATTGTAACATATTTTTCTATTTCCTATTAACAGTCTAAAAATATAAGTCAATTATTATTAATATACTTTTTAATAAAATGAATCAAGATAAAAAATTAGATTTATAAAATAGAAAAATATAAAAATATGAAAAATTAAAATTAAATTGCAAGCTATAGTACCCTTATATATTGTATTCCCTTTTTTTTTTTATCTAAAAAAAGTTATTTTTTATTATTTAGAAATCAAATTTTGACCATAAATTATATATAATCAATTTTCTGATTATTAAACAAGTATTTAAACACACTATTTATAAATTATAGATTTAGTAATATATATATCATTTGAAATTTGCAAGATATCCAATTTTTTTTTTGAGACCTACTTCAGCCAATTTAAAAATACTAGTATATTGTTTGCATGCTATAGTTTTAAAAGAATAATTAAAAAGGAATTAAAATTTTTAAATAAATGTCACGAAAAGTCAAAAAAAAATTAATATATTGATGATGTTGATCACGATTTCCATCATTACGTCATTGACTAATTTGATTTGTTTTGTTGATCATCTGTTACGTATATAATAGAAAATCTCCTTCCTTCATCCTTCGTTTATTACGTACCCACTTTTGTCGTTCTTTTCTATTTCACTTTATTGTTGATATAATTAACACGGTTTTTACTTAGACTTTTTATATACCATTAACGCAATGATTAACCATAATGGGACGTGTCGCTAGCTAAGTATTTTTTTAATTTTTTTCCTATTTTTTTAAAAGGAACTGTTGCGAAGATTAAACCATGTGGCTGGGCCTTTAAGAGATAGATGTGTCTAGTACACTTTGCTTATCCACCTCTTCTATTGCTTTGGTTAAGAAATAAAAAAATCTTATTTCCTCTGTCTCATCGCAGCAGCATGTGAGGGCTTTCTCGATAGTGCCTTTATCACGTCCTCTGCACGTAACTGAAATATCCTCTGCACGCTTTGTTAGCACGATATGATATATTCAGCACGATATGGCGTCGACAGTCCACTGAGCTCAAATTTATTGTTATTTAATTATGTATTATTATGTAACACTTTGCTAATGATTAATGTTTAAATTTATTTGCAGCATCAAAAGAAGTTTCGAAATTACCAAAAAAAAAAATGATACTCGGACGCGCCGCTAGCTAAGTATTTTGTTTTTTTCTATTTTATTGAAATATACTTTTGCGAAGATTAAACCATGTGGCTGGGCCTTTTAGAGATAGATGTGTCTAGTACACTTTGCTTATCCACCTCTTCTATTGCTTTGGTTAAGAAATAAAAAAATAATTATTTCCTCTGTCTCATCGCAGCAGCATGTGAGGGCTTTCTCTATAGTGCCTTTATCACGTCCTCTGCACGTAACTGAAATATCCTCTGCACGCGTTGTTAGCACGATATGATATTATCAGCACGATATGGCGTCGACAGTCCACTGAGCTCTAATTTATTGTTATTTCAAAATTATGAAATATACATTTTTTTTCTAATGATGAATATTTAAATCTATTAACAGTCAAGAAACATTTCGATATTATCAAAAAACTAATCAATATTGCTAAGTATTTTTATCTTTTCTTGTATTAAATATTTTTAATAAATAATTTTTCAATTTCTGACTTTGTTCTTTTTCTTCAAAAATTTCAAAAATTATAACTTTATGACTCATTCAGACCTTTGATGTTTAAATAAGCCATGGTTGGTTTATCGACGATATCATCTTTGAAGATAATTAGAAATTTCCATATATAGAAGTTTACTTTGAAGATTTTTTTTTTACGTAATGGACTTTATTTATTATTTGTTAAAATTCTATTTAATATACAGTTCCTTTAAGATTTACTGTATATATTTTACCAATTAAAAAAAAATTTAAAAAACAAAAGTTGATCACTAAAGCGTTAGGAGAAAATCGCGGTTTCGGAATCGGCTCCGAATTTAAGTCAAAAAATAATTTTTTTTTTTGTTACCATTAATTGACGTATTTTAAAATTATTAAATTATTTCATCATCATAGCAGAAGGTTTAGCCACTTTCATATAATGTTTTCCGTTTATATTACTGGTCATGATATATAATAATATATATCATTGCTGAAGTTTTAGGTCCTACAAAAATAATATTCGTTTATAAAAGGTTCCAACAATAATAATTATAAAACAATCATGGCAATAAAGCTTTAAGATAAAGTTTATTCAACATCCAAAATAATTTTATAACAATCGATATTTTCTGATAAACTTTCCTCATAATTTACATTTTAAACATACAGATCATTTTTGAATGTTTTTATATGCAAAAATCTTATTCCTAGCTTCATATTTATAACAATAATTATTGTAACTCTAAAATATCAGTTTAGAACTATATAAACAATCTTTACAATAAAAATTGGCGAAATAAAAGTGCATAATAGTATCTGTCCCGTAACGTAATGGATTTATATTGTATTTTGACCAACATTATTAATTTTGTTATCGTTATGGAAGTTTAGACAAAAACAAAATTCCCGGTTTGAAAAAAAATTGTTGCTTCGATAAAAAAATCCTTTTTATTATTTAAGAAATTCTTTTTCTTCTAGTTCTTTATATTAAGATACAATAGAATTTTTCGAGTATTATAAATTATCTATGCATCCTAATGAAGACCCAATGTAATGATAAATTTTAGGCTAGATTGACTTTCTCGTGTTACATACTGTATGTACTTTGTATTCTTTTTTTTAATGTTTTACATTCCACTTAAGATGCCAAAAATGGTTAGTTCCTAATAAAAAAGAATGTTTCATGCAACCATTTGAAAAAAAAATCTAAATTATTATTTGTGGAAACTTTTTTTTGGAAAATTATCGCAAGGACTTCCTTTGTGCGATGAAAAAAAAACACATTTAATGTTAAAATTTGAAACATCTTACCGCACAATCATTTTAGTGTTTAATTGTGTGTATCAATTCCAAGGGGAATGTTTGTTCTAATTGTGGTAGCGTACCAAAGAATTGTTAATTATGTCGCAGTAAATGTATTACAAGAAGGTGGTTTTGACATAAAAATCCAAAAAATAAAAAATAAAAATAAACTTTAAAATTTTTCAACGTTTCATTTCCTAAAGAAATAATAAAAAAAAAGGTTTTATCTTATCTGCCTTTTTAATGACAAAGAACATCCTTCATTAACAAAGTCTTTCAAAATGACAAGTTGAAGAAATGAATGACAAACGTCAATTAAAATGCAGCAAATCATTGAATGCATCTACTTATTATTATTGGAACACATTTTAATGAAAATGGATAATTTTGGAATGTTTAATGGTGATTGTTAATCATTGATTTGATGAAAAAAGAAATCACACAAAGCCTTTTCTTTCTTTCTCAAGGAATTTCAAGGTAATGAAATAAACTTCAATCGAATATAAAATGATTACATTTTCTAATAAGTTATTTAAGAAAATTTTCAGCGTTAATTTTTCTTCATTTAATCCTTCTCGCAAATAATATCATCATTCGCAAAAAAAAATAAAAATAAATAAAAATAAAAAAAAAATATAAAATAAATTAAATTAATAAAATAGAAAAATCCACTTATTAACTAAACAAGCCAAACATCTTCACATTATTTTTTATTTAAAAAATGCCTCAAAAATTACACGAAGCTACTTTTCGAGCTTTACAAGTTAAGCAATATAAAGGATCCGATATCAAATACATTCCCGCAGTTGATCTGCACAACCTCAATTTAAAATCCGCGAAAGGACTCGTTTTTAAAACCATCCAAGAATATTATTCTACCGAGGTGACTTGGATAAGATTTATAACGGGGAGGGGAAATCATCAAAACGCAAAGGGGAAACGGGCAATCCTTTATAACAGCTTTCCAAAATGGGTTACGGATGTTAAAATTCATCATTTAATCGACAGTTGCGAACAAGGTGATGGATCGTATAAGGTATATCTTAAAACTTCCAAAAAACTAAAAGAAGATTCTTCAACAAATACAATCTTGGATGTAAATATTATTCGACAGGAAGTTTTTAAACGATTAAAAAAGTTGGCCGAAAGTGGAAACGTCGAATCCCAATTACTCATTGGACAATTATATTTTGATGGGATTATTATTAATATAAAGGAAAAACATGAAAAGGCCTTCAAGTGGTTCATTAAAGCGGCCGAACAAGGTGACGTTGGTGCCCAATTGATCGTCGGGAATTTATTGCATGAAGGAAAGGGTGTTGCTAAAAATTATAGAGAAGCTTTTAAATGGTTATTAAAGGCCGCTAAGCAAAATAACGTTAACGCACAAATTTTTGTTGGTAAGATGTATTTCAATGGTGAAGGTACTAGGAAAAATGATAAAGAAGCTTTTAAATGGATCAAAAAGGCCGCCGAAACAAATAATCCGAACGCCCAATTTATTCTTGAACAAATGTGTGTTAAAATTGAGAGTTAGAATATTATTATTTATTTATAGAATGTTAGAATGTATATTAAACTTGAAAAACGTAAATAAAAATAAACTCGATGGTTTTTACCTTGTTTGTGAAACAAAACTTCCAATCTCAGCCTGAATTAAGATCTAAAAATTCATGGCTATAAATGACAATTACGCTTGGGCTGAGATTAGTGTAACCAAAATAAAAAGTTTGCTGCACATGATAAACTCTTTGTAGATAGCTAAAAAAAAAAAACATCATACGGTTTTTTCACTCTTTTTAAACATAATGACATTTTTAAATAAAGATTGTCTTTATTTAATCTTTGAAAAGTTAAAAGATGATAGAAAATCCCTTCATTCCTGCATCTTGGTTAATAGATTATGGTGCCATGTGGCCGTTCCGATTCTATGGAAGGAACCTTGGAAATACGTTGTCTATAATAAAAAACTATTTGATGTGATTTTCTCATTCTTATCAAGTGAATCACAAAACCTTTTAATGAACGAAGGGATCAAAGAATATCCAAAGCTAAAGCGACCACCTTTATTTGATTACATTCATTATTGTAAATATATGAGGTACTTTAATATTCGGAATATGATCTTATTAAAACTTGGTTATGGTTATAATAGAAAATCTCAATATAAGGTTATTGAAAAGGAAATCTTTCAATTATTCATTAGCAAATGTTTTGATATTAAAGAACTTCAGATCATTGACATTGAATTAGAATTACATAATTTTATTGGAGCGGATAATTGCTTTTCAAACCTTTGCAAATTAGAATGTGATACTTCTATTAATTCAACCATTTTCATCGGGTTGGCACGAATTTGTAAATCCATTGAACATCTCTTCCTCAATCCTTGCTTAAACGATAATGAAGGATTAATCGAGTTAATCGAGGCTCAAAGAAACTTAAAACGTTTAATATGTAAAGGCACAAAAGATCAATTTGAAAATGGTCAATGTTATGGAATTGAAAAGGCATTGAAGAAGCAGGCGAATTCTTTAATTCATTTTTCTATTGATAACTTATGTTTTAGTCCAACAATTTTTCCAATCTTAAAAAATTTACAGAAGCTTGAAATAACCGAAAAAAAACATGTATGTCTCAATAAAGGTTATGCCAGAAATTTATCAAGATCAAAGTATTCAAATCTTGAAATTTTAGTAACAAAGAATATCACACATAACATAGTTGAAAAGATCATCGAAAAGACCAATGGATGCCTTTGGAAAATTGACATCACTAACGATATGAATGAAAGGATTGATCACGAAAATTTTATAAAGATAATTTATCATCATTGTCCAAATATTAAATTTATTAATATTTTAATTCATGAAAATAAAAATTTATTCGAATTGGAGCAATTGCTTTTAAATTGTCAATACTTGGAAGGTATTGTTATTGAATCCCCACCAATTTATAGAAGTCAAAATGAAAGAATCAACGGAAATGAATTATTAGAAATTATAACAAGATCAGCTCCGATTGGTCTGCATAAGATCAAGGTATATAAAAATTTGGAAATTTCTTTAAATTCTTTAATAACGTTTTTTGAAAATTGGAAAGGAAGAATACCGCTTTACTTTCATACAATTATGAGTTATTCTAAGCTGAATAAGGATTACCTTGATATAATTGAAAAATATAAAAATGAGGGTATTTTAAAGGAATATAAAGATTTAAATAATTATCCAAGCCCAGTAGGATGGCAAAATTAATGTTATAATAAATTACTATTATTTTTCTAAAGTGCAATCAAAAGATTTCAATTTTTTGTTATCCATAGAAAATGTATAATATTAAAATTTAAAATAAAAATACTTTATAATAATTTCTACCTATTTATATTTATATATAAACACTTACTTCAACTGTTGCTCCTATTATCATTCAATTACCATCACAATTTTATCAAAATTCTTTTCAAGAACAAACATCATAACGTATTTCTGATAATACAAATATTTATTTATCAAAATTACTTTCAATTAACGAATTTTTTAGCAATTTGGATCAAATATATAATTGTAATAATGTTTATTTCAAATTTATAAATGCTTTTCTTAAAAAGGAAATCATTGTTAATGCTATTAAAGATTTATCTGATAAATAACTACAAAAATTTGGGTAGTAAAAATTGAATGACAAAAAAAATATTAAACAAGCAGCATAACAATTTTAAATGTATTTATTATATTATTTTGATTATAATAAAGCTTAATTCCTTTTTTTTGATGTTTTAAAAATTATTTAATTTTTTATATATCGATATATAGAAAAAAACAACAAAAAAAATTTTTTTAACATAAAATTTTTAAACATAAATTGATGCTTCAAAATATAATTGTATCATTTATGGAGTTATTTGACTACATGCAACCAATAATGTATATACAGGATCATTACAAGCTTCCATAAAATCATGATTATATTTAATTCATGATTTAATAGTTGAAAATGCTATTTCAATAGGAATATAATCAGGAGAACAAGATGAAAGAAAAACAATATGACATTCTAACCTTTTTAATAATATTCTTAATTCATTACTATGATGAATTCTATCATTATCTATTACAATAATACTATTATTTCCTAGAAATAGATTTATTATAAATACCTAAAAATAACAATAAATTTTAGCGTTAATAAAAAAAATAAATAAAATAAAATATATAAATTATTATTTATCACTTGATTAAAAATAAAATCAACATTTTTTTCTATCACAGGATTCTTCAAATATATCAATAGTAACAAACCCATTTAGTATAAGTGTAGGTAAAATAATATATCATTTTTCTCGTATAAAAATTACTTTCTTTTGAGCTGGTATATTTCTAGGTGAATATACATATAATCATGAAAACTTCTTTCATCTTTAGCACTTTCATTAAGAAAATAAGTTGATTTCATATATAGTATTTACTAGTGATATCTAATGAAATTAACTTTTATAATATGATAAAATTGATGAAACTGAAATGATAAAACTAGTTTTTTATTAATGATGAAATTATTTTACTTAATTGCTAAAATTATATTTAATTTGATCTAAATTTCTTGAATTAAAGCACATTAAAAAATATAATAATTTATATTTATTCATATAAAAATATTAAAGAAATGAAACTTTTACGAAATTACAATTTTCAAAAAGAGTTTAATCAGGTATTACTAGTATTCACCAATTGTAACTAAATAATATACATGAATAATTTTATTTCTTTTTAATGCTGCTTTTTGTAATTTGATAAAAAAAATATATAAATTAGTTAAATATATCAAAATATCTATAATATAACAATACTGTAAATAAAATAATTTACCTTTTTTCTAGTAATTTCTAAATATTGAAGTGACTGCTAAAGTGTTACAACAGATGCTCTTTTTTTAGTTAAAGATTCCATTTAATATACAAACTTATCCAAATATCAATCCACTTTTTCTGTTATAAGATTTCTAAGTATAACCATATCTTTTTTACTAAATAGCTTTCTTTGACTAAAAACAATTTTTGAAAGGATTTTGAACACATGCCTAGCATTTATACCTTTTTTTAATTTTATTTACAACAGCTTTACTCATATATAAAGTGTTAGAAATATTCACAATAGACAATCCATCAATATGAAGATAAATAATATGCTAATATAATCTTCACTGAACACTTAAGGCATAGTTAAATTCATCTATAAAAAATAAAATCACTTTTATTATAGATTATATTTGCAATTGTTTTGGAATTATTTTGGAATTTACAGAATCTTTAGGAATCAGTTAGAAACCAGTATTTACATATCTAGTAAAATATAAAGCAAAATAAAAAAATTCATTAAAGAAAGTGATATAAGCTGACTTATCATTATGCAGATTGAATAATATTTTGTTTTTATATAAGCACGTGAGTTTTTTTACAGGAATCAGTTAATTTTTTATTATAATTACTGATTACTGCTAATCACATTAATTTGAAAACTGCTATAATTAATGATGTAATTCCTTTATACTATATATTATTACACAAGTATTTAAATGTAAATACAAAATTAATAATAAAAATATTCCTAAGATGTTTCTTTAAAAAAAATTAAATAAAAATAATTACAATATTTTTTTACATAAAGTTGTTTAACATTAGTTTTAGATCATACTTATAATACAATTAATATGAATAAGCTTCGAATTAATATTGAAATGCTATTCCTATTACAAATAAAAAAGAAATCCACAAGTTTAAATCTCACTATCAATAAAATCAAATAATTATATGACTCTTCTAATTTCTTCATAGTCATTAAAAAGTTGAATCAATTCTATTAATATTTAAAAATAAGTTTATTCTATAAAAGTTATAGCCTAAAGTTATAGAGTAATCATACCCAGCCAGTCTCCAAACGGAAAAAAATTAAAAATAATATATCTCAACCTTTTATTTCCTTTATTTTTGATGAAATGAATGTTAATCTGATCAATTCTTCTATTAAAGAGATATATTAGTCTCTCCTAAAATTAATACAAATAAACTCCAAAAACTGGTAATCTAACAACTTGTAAATAAATGATATAATAATTTTTACTAAATAATGCTTCAAAGAAAATTGATTTCATTCTTAACAAAAGAAAATAAACAATTATTTTAGATCATTTCTTGATCGAATATTTTACTATAGAAGTAAATAAATTTATAATTAATCTTGATAAAATCAAATACAAATTATTTTTTAAAAAAGCTTGAGTCTCCAGCCAATGGATTCTAAGTTTTAAAAATAAAAATTCTGGATTCTCGCATAAGTTTAAAATATATTTTTAATAAATATTTAATTAATATATTCTTTTATTATTAATCATTTTTAAAATTATGCTTTACCTTTACCATCCTATGTCTTATATCTAGTATTACTAATAAAATGATAACTCACTTAGGTAGCAAATTATAACATTTATTCTTGCTACACATTTATATGTATTTTATTTTAGAAGATATTTCTAACAAATGAAATATAGCTTATATATATTCAATTTCAAAACCTATAAAATAGAATTGTGATATTACCTAAACTAAGCTAATTAATTTATTTGAAACTGCCTAAAAGAGATTTGTTAAAATTATTAATAATAGACTTTCTAAACTTCTAGCTATAAAAAATATTTTAAGAAGTGGCAATTTTTCTAGACTACCTAATAGTTTTATTAAAGTATTATTTAAAATTTTAGGTAATTCTCTAAAATCTCTTTAAGATATATGAAAGGTTTGCTAGAAAAATAGGGTTCTGAGTATTTTTTGTTAAATTTTAATTTTATTGCATTTTAATCTAACATTATCAAAAATTAAAATGCAACAAAAATTAAAATTTTAATAAAAAATGCCCAGAGTCCTATTTTTCTAGCAAACCTTCTATATGATAAAGTTGATTTATTCTATTTTAAATGAGTATTTAAATAAATTAAACTACCACAACTAGCTATTTATTTATTATTGACATTTTCAAAATTATTGAAATTGATGTTAATCAAATAACAGTAATTATTTTTTTTAAATTAATTATGTTTGTTTAGCTTTACATAAAAAAAACTTTAATTTTTAAATAAGCTACTATGAATATTTAAATAAATATACACTTTATTTATAAGAAGTTTTATTTTAAAAAAATATATATACTTAAGTTAAAACTTTGAAATTACAACATTTTTCAAAAAATCAAAGAAAATTACAAAAATTCATATGAAAGAAAAAATAGGAATCACAGTTAAGTTACTATAATTAAAGTTATTTTTTGACTCATAAAAGTAATAATATAAGTAAATATTTGAGGTAAGTACAATATATTTGTATTATGATATAATTTTTTTTTTAAAAAAAATAATAGATCATTATAATTCAAATATATTTAACACAAAAATAAGTATCATTTGTTATATTCTTGAGTAAGATACTTTTTTCTTAGGTAATGTGATAAATATAATAAATGCAATATAAAGGTTTTTAAAATAAGATCTTAACTGTATTACAGATCTTATATTATTTGTGATCAGCTAATTATTTATCATATGATTTGTGTATTTTATATTTTGAGTTTTATTAACTATCATGCATAATAACCAATTTTAATAATTTTGAAAACTCTAATAATTAACTTATTTATCGTAAGGAAAAATATTTTTACTACTATAAGATTCTGATTACTATGATATCAAAATAGATATAAATCAAGAAGCGTTATTTTTTCTCTTTTTAATGTATTTATCTAGATCTTTCTTATGTAAAGTTATGAGCCTTAATAAGAAATATTATATCAAATATACTTAAACAAATAACCTGATTACTATGATATCAAAACTCTATTAACACAAACATCCTTACTTATCTTTATAGATAATATGAATTAGATTATAAATTTGTAACAAGATTTAGAATATTTCTATCTATATAGAAGAATTTTATGATTTCACTAATTTCACATTCAATTATTCAATAAAACTAAATTAAAATTAATTATAACTAAGTATCTTTAATCACTATTTGTTAACTTAAAATTTGAATTATTATTAATAGATATTACCTTTAATTCTAGCTCAATCAGATCTTTAGAGTATGATTAAATAGTTAACTATTCTTATAATCAACTCAAAAAAAAATATTATTTGCTTTATTAACTTAATAAAATTCTAATAAACATATCTCTTACATTATCAATATAGTTTTTTGTCACCTTATTAATTTTATTAATTATAGAATACAACTCATTCTATTGTTAAAAAAAGAATGTGATTACTTTTTCAGTCCTGTTAGACTATTCTTTAAAAGAAAAAATAAATTTGCTATCAACTTTTCTATTACTCTTCTCATTTTTAAAAAATTTATAATTTAAATGACTTTTGGTCATTACAAATCAAATCATTTTCAAGTTCTCTTTTTAATTAATTCAATAACTTCACATTATATTTCTTATATTAGTTTTTTTAAATACAATTAAATTCATTATTATTCTATTCACTTCTTATTTACTAGATACTGTAAATCACAAAAAATCTTATTGGTATTTCCTGTAATTTGATTAACTTTACATTCTCTAACTTATCTTTTCTCCTTCTCAATATTTAATTAACGATATTATAGAAGACATCTTTTCTTTCTCTCATATTTTACTTATACCATCTTATCAAAACATATCAAAATACTATTACTCATAATCTTTTCTATCTAAATTAATTAACATCAAATTTTAATAATTTTAAAAATCCTAATTAATCAGGTCTATATATCATTATTAGACTATTATTTATATTTTAAATATAAGTTCCAAATGTTTACAAATTATTAAATTGATTTCATTATTGCAAATTCGCAACCTATTTATTATTTTAGTCAAACACATTTTAATTATCAAACTACTCATCTCAAAATAATTTTATTGTTCAAATTTTTATCTAAAATTCTTTTTGAGTAAATGTTGTTTGATTTCAAGTATATATTACTAATAGAATATTTATTACAAATGAAAGTTGATGAATTTGTTCATTATAAGAAGATGTGAATTTATTCAGTATTGCTATATTCATATAATAGTATATAGAAACAATTATTTGATGATTATTATAAATAAATTATATATATACTAAAAAAATTTTTTTTTACATAAGTTGTATCTTACATATATTTTTTTGCATTTATAATTATTTCTTGAAAAGAAAATGTTATTTTTTTATTTATTATTTTATTTATTAGTGTAAAATATTTTGTTTTATAACTGAATAAATAAATAAAAAGCTTACAATTTCTACTTTGAATTCATAAAATAAAATTTAAAGCTTGAATGATAGGTGGAAGTTTATTTAGAATTTTTAATGTAAAAGTTTATTTTTTTTATTAATTAAAATATTATGCTGCATATAGTATATTGATTGTTATGACTGCGGTGATCAAACTTTAGCGCAGTCAAAATCTGAGGATAATATAAGGATTTTTCTATTATGCTAAGCTTTTGATATTTTCTTATAATTTTGAATTTAAACTTGCATTACATTTTATAATCAAAAAAATTATTAAAATCAAATAATATTAAGACAAATAATCTATTTTATTTAAAAAAAGAATTATTCATTTTTCTTACAAATAACTTTTATTTATATAATTAGAGAAATTACAGACTTTTTTTCCCACAGTATAGCTAATATATTATTAAGACATATATTATTTAAGTATGTAAACTAATATCTATAATATTTTCCTTACATATTACTAAGATATAATTGTTTTATTAAGAATTCAGTCTTTTTTTCTTTTTTAATTTTTCCTATGTAACATAAATCAAGTAATTAGTGAAAAAGTGTCAAAGTAATAATATTCATAATTGAATAAAAGCTTTATACCTCAAGTTCTATGAATACAATAAATATCTTTGAAAAGGAATAATCAAATTCTTCAGATAGTAGTAAATACTGATTAAGTAGGCCAAATCTATACTGAGGGGAGACAAAAGTATTGCACAGTTTTGATTTAGATATTTTAGTTAATTTATCATATGGGATCTTTGCAATAGAAAGGGGAAAACTGCCAGAATAATAAAAAATGAGTTAATGCTAAATTTGAACATTTTTTAGCCTGAAAATCATGGTTGGTATATAAAAGTAAAATTAATTTTTCCTAGCAGTTTATTGCAAAGGTCTCATATGTAACTGAACCATATTTTTTTTAGTAACATATTGGCTAGCTTTTGCTTAATAAAATTAAAGCATTGCAAGGTGTAAAATCGAAAATTTAAAAACACATTACTTTTATACTAAGCTTCATTATAGGATTTGATATTTGACTTTATTGGATGTTTCTATTGCAAAAGAAACCAAATAACAATTGCCTATAATATTTATGATTTATGAATTATTGAATCCAATTTTTTTGCTGTAATAATGACTTTTTTTCTAAAAGATAAGTCCTTTAATTATACTATCTTGCGCCAAATCGAAATTTGGGAGTATTTTCAAATTCTATTTTACGAATTGCAACATACTAATTCAAACTATAATAAAAATATTTCATTTATGTAATCGATAATCAATACAAAATATTATGACTCAGTTACATATGATAAATCAACTAAAATATCTAAATCAACACTGTGCAATACTTTTGTCTCCCTCGGTACATGCCGGAACCTTGCCAATCCATAGCATAGAAACTTAATTCCAACCTTGTGTTAAATAAAATCTATTAGATAACAAGTCTGTATATATAAGTAAAGTATCTTCGGAATCAACGTACCTACTTGAATCCATCCATAAATGATTATACTTGACTTGTCCTTGGTTCATCTGTCAAATGCAACCAATATTTTAAAATACTGTTCAGGGAGTCTCGCATGATTATAGAAAGTTTGACTTTGTCAAGATATTTTTTCTTACGACAAGCTGAGGCTATTCCAAATGGGCTAAACCACCTGCGATTTCACCTCACCATACAAAGCTTCAAATCATTAGGAGTTCTCACTAACATTCCCTTCATATCTAATTTTTGACCTAGGTGAATGGATCGGCTTTTTCGTTTCTTGCGTCATTCGATGGGAGTGCCTGAATTTCACCCCTACATGCATAAGTCATTACCTAAATATTTCTTGCTAAAAATAAATGCATTGACTTACCATCTATTTTTATTTATATGAGGAGAAAGCACGGATTGAAAAAGCGGAAATGACTTTATCATCTTTAATTCCTCCTCTGTCAAGATGCAATGAAACAAATTCATATTTCCTTTTCTGTAATATAAATAAAAAAACGCAGTCAGAAAAACTTATATAGAGTTGTTTTAAATTGAATAATGCTTACATGAATTGAATATTGGTATGAATCTTTTAAGGTTATCATGTTGAATTTCATTGCAATTATTATTAAAAATACTTTTGAAAATGATTACGAACAAGGAAGGAGGAAAACCGGTACGGTACGGTTCTGATCAGTGGTTCGATCCTCCAAATTTTGATCGATCGTTCCGTACTGGTTCTATAATATTATTGAGACCAGTACGGTACGATCAAAATTTGGACAAAGTACCGTACCGTACCAGTTTTCTATATACCCTATTTAATGATCTCAATGATATTAATAATGATTAATTTTGCATTCGTCAAAGCGTTCTTAATAAAAAAAAAAAATTTTTTTCAAAAAATAAATTAAAATAAAAAAATACCTGTTGAGGATTCCACGCAATTTTATTCGAAAAATCTTGAGCCAATTCTTGTATTTGTACTGCTGATAGTTCTTTATATCCGTATAAACTCACTTTTGTTAAGTCAATGATACCCAATAAGCCGGTCTATTGAATGTAGACTGACTGTGTATAATAAAAGATAAAAGATCAAATTATTGATATTTGAAGTAATCATATAAACTTACGTAATTATTCAACGACTTTTTGGAATATTTTCTTGGTATTGTTGAAAGCTCTTAAGTACATTAGCATCATTGGAAAGATTTTGCTTAAATATAAATTGTAGTTAGCGTATTGAAGAAATAATTGTTGAATCTTGACAGTAACAAACAAATTACCTTGAATGAACCAGCCATACGATGTTTCGTTTGACAGCTTATTTCATCAATATTTTCTATCAAAGTCTCTTCATTTGCTTTATTGTACTTTGTCCTTCATTCCACTCTTGCTCCTCTTCCTGTCCTTTCCTTTTACTTGTGCATTTTTCCTTGCCATCCTCGATTTTAGGATAGACATCGTTATCTACAATCTTATTATTTGTAAAAATTTTGCTTAAATAGAATGGATTGGAATAAGCGTACTAAAGATGTGGTTATTGAATCTTCTGACTGTTACAATCAAAATAATCCAGTCATATGATTATTTGACAGCTTATATTCATTATTCAAGGTTTCTTCGCTTGCTTCATAGAACAATATTATTTGTCCTTCGTTCCACTCTTGTTTCTCTTCCAGTTTTTTATATGTACATTTTTTCTTACAACTCACAATTTGAGAACAAACATCATTATCTACATCCTTATCATTGGAAAGTTTTGGTTATATAGATAGATCGGAATAAAGGGTATTGAAGATGATGTTAATATTACATATAACAATCAATACCTTGGATTTACTTGACAGCTTATTTTCAACAATAAACATTTCTTCGCTTTATCCTTCACTCCACTCTTGCTCCTATTTTTTAGAATAAACATCGTTACCTACAAAAATATCATCGCTGATTCAGTATACGCGACTTTGACGCAGTCGTTAATAACTTGCAAATTTCTATTCTATGTTACCGCATTTGACTATGTTTATCGTTTAATTGGACACAATTGATAATTTTTGCGATTCACCGATAATTCCATTCAACGCAGACTTAGAATTAAATAATGTTAAAGAATTTATTAAAAAATATGAAATTATAGAAATTATAATCAATAATTTACCCATCTTGGTAAGATGAAATGAATTTCATCCGATGACCAAAAAGATTCTACAACTGGAGAAGATTTCTCAAACTTATTTATATAAAGAAATATACGGTATTAATATACTGAGAAAGATGTATGCCATGAAACGAGACGTGGTCTAACAACCGGAAAGACGTGGTTCCCAGTTGCAACATGACAATAGAGGCGTAGTCTATTCCCCGAGGGAAGTCGTAGTTCACTATCACCGGCCGAGACGTGGTCAGCCAGCTACTCAGGGTTTCCATCTTCCGTTAGATACGTACCTCGAAATTTTCAAGGCATTTTTGGCTTTAGCACAATGCTCTTCTGATTTATTATTTAAAATTATATCCTTTAACACTTTCGTCTATCTCTTGTGAAATCGTCTGCAACTTGTTTGTCCGTATATTAAGAAAGAAATAAGCGACCAGTTTTTATTTTGTTCAAAGTAATTTTCTGGTTTACGGGAAGTCATTTCTATTTAAGTTAGTAATAAGAAAAGTGAAAAGTAAAAAGTCAAAAATAAATTTGTATCGAAGAAATAAATAAACTCACGATCACGTGTATTACATCACATCTCCTAACAAAATTTTATTGGATGACATTTGTTTAGAAAGAAGTTTGATAAAATATTATAGTTATTTTAGCTATCAACTTTTTATTGACTATTTTTTATTTAATATTTTTGATATAAAATTAATATAAAGAAAAAATTTCGCGAGGATTTCAAAGAGAAAATTCTCGTTTATAAAGAACGAAAATATACAATATGGCATGAGTATGTTGTTTAAATGAACTTATTTTGTTTAATATATCTAATAAAAAAGAGTTTTGCATTAGAAAGTCTAAAGAAACATCCACACCATTCAAGATTTTCATTTACATAAAATAAGAGATAACATTTTCTTTCCAAGACATGCAAAATAAAATAGTATGAAATTACAACTCGTGCGAAAATAAATTTTTTAGTGTATATCTATGACGGTGAAAATAAGTATACATCACCCACAAATGACTGGATAAATTCAGTAATGAACGAATTAGTTACAACTTTCATTTGTTATAAATATTCTGCTAGTAACAAGTGCTTGAAATCAAATAACTGTCGGGAAAAATCAATTTTACTTTTATATTAATAATTGTAATGTCAATGGAATGATGAAACGTTTACGTGATGAACTATATCAGAATATGATAAAGCTTTCTCATTCACTTCCGAAGAATCAAAGCAAATCAAACGAGCAATCCTAACTCACCAGCGCTTACATAAATATAAGAATTCATAAAGGGAGATATATATTTCACTACCGGAATGTTTGGGTTCAAAAAAATAGGTCCAAATGACAAAGCATTCCATATGTATGGCTATGGGTCATGGTGATCCTCAGCTTCGATATTGGCACTTTACTGATTACTGTGAACATGTTGCAAAAGAAGAAAAGACTTTGACGTCGGGTCATTGTACCTTTGAAAATTTTAATGCTGTTTAAAATCTATGATGTTGGAGGAGGCTGGAACAACAACAATTTCGGAAATGCATTTATAAAATATTAGAATTATTTGATGTGTCTACTCTCAAAGGGTATATATTAAAATGCATGATGTTATGGAACCACGAAATAAAGATTTTAAAGAATTGTTGTTTCAATATGGTCTTGGTATTCATCATGCCGGACAGATCCGAAGGATTATAAAGGTATTTAATATACCTTCCAAAATAGTGATTAAACTATTCCAATTTTTTTATATCATAAATTACTAAAAAATTTTTAAATTGGGTCTTGTGTTGACTTCAACGTTAGCTTGAAGTGCATATGTACCGACTTATGCAGTAATAATTAGGGGAACGCAAAGTATTTTGATTTTCAAAAGGTAGATTTGATATCTTTGAGTAGATTGTCCACAGGTTTGTTAATTTTATGATTTGTTTTTATTTTTAGTTATTTTTTTATTTTCATTATTTTTTTTTACATCTAGTCAATTAGTATTAAACACATGGCGTTGGCTATATTTTGACTACACATGACAAACTATCACAATACGTGTCTGCAAATGACACAAAAATCATCCTATTGTATAAAAGTAATTAATTCATCTTATCTTGAACTTGTATTATGTTGGTAAATCACTATACTTTATTATTGGTTAATACTGTAGTTGACTGTTTGAATGCTCGGCACTGTGACAAATGATGAAAGGAGTTCGATGGCTAGTTATATGTATCTATATATACGTATGAAAAGAACCCACTTGTATATGGAATGAATTATTCAGAACAAGAAAATGATCTGGAGTTAGGAAAATAACGACGCCATATAATTGGAATGATTAAGTTCTACGAAGATTCATATTATTTCGAAATTCAAGATATTGGTCGTATAGATTCCATTTATTATAATAAACTAAAAGTATATGGGAATCTAAAAAAAAATGTTTTCATGAGTTGAAGTTAAATCTGGACTTATTTTACTAAAAAAAATATGAAGTAAAATTTTAATTTTTTTTAGATTTCCTCCTTTTCTATTGACAAGCTCCCATATATTAAAAAAGCCAATATTCTATCAATAATGAGTCAAAGCAGCGAATTTGCGGACTTGAAATCAAGAGAAGAGGGTGCTATGAACTTGAAAGGCTTAAGGAAAATGCTTGTTCTAGTCAAAATTAAAGTTGTATTAATATTTTCGGTGACGAAGGACTTTTTTAAAGAAATTACTTACATTTTTGATTTATTATTACACAAATACAAAACTACCGATGATACTGTTGGAAAAGTTAATATTCTATTACAAGCATACCTATCAATATTGAAGATTATTGATTCAGGCGCTTGTAGTACAGAATACAAGTCGCATAGTCTGAGCTTTATTTCAAATTGCTTTGAATTGTAACTGGGTCCACTTTATTGGAATTATGTAAATATATTGACAAGCGTATGTGTACGTTTGAGAATCCTCTGGCTCAATTTAAAGTGCCTCGAGAAATTATAATGAAGCTTCAAAATAATCACACACCCCATTAGAAGACATGAGAGAATGTCCTCGGCTGATCTTGGACAATTAGTTAAGCAGTATAACATGGGAGATTATTTTTCTAAATGTTTACGATGCTTAAGTTGGACGCACATGTTGCACCTATTACACGTAATATTCTACGAGTAAATCTTAGTATTACTCTTGATTTCATTTGAAAATATCATATTCACTCTGTTGTAGAACCATGGTGGAGGATCTGAAAATATCGATTCAGAATATTTATATTAAACAGAATGCAGCTTGTAGAAACAAAAGATTAGCTCAATTATATATTCGTGACATATCCGATAGATAAATAGTAGCTGAGGCATTTCTTTCAGTTTCTTAAACCATATAGTTTTGCCTAAAAATATCATCAACATCCATAGAATAATTCACTTAAGAGATATGTTCTAAGAAATTTACTCATTTCAATCCTGTACAGATCAGGTGTTTGACAATCTTTATAATTTTTTACTAATTTATTGATTGGCGCGCTCACAGGAAAAAATGGTTACTGCTGGATTAGCAATGTGATGTGGAGAGTGAATGAATTGTACCCTATTTTACACATTATACGTTTAACACGTTGAAATTAAATATTATGTCTGGCTTTTTAAGGTGGGCATTTGAACATACAAGTTCCGAGGTAGTTAATATCGATTAAAAACTTTAGTTCGTGAGCGTGTAGATGATAGGCAAGCTAGATTAACCGGTCCAATGAAAAACGACTTGTAGAAATGTTACCCTGGACTTGCGTTCTATTGAAAATGACGATATCATTACTACAACACGAAAATGTTGAAAAAAACGTTTGAAAATGTTTAGCAAAGATAGAAAAGTTGTTTTGTTTCTTTTACATAAGAAAGAATTATATAAGATGATGTAATATCAGTTAGCGCATGGATAATTAAACTATTTTGTCTATCTCAGGTTACAGTGTAGCACAAAACAATTTGACATGTAATTACTCTTCTCCCCACTTATAAATCATCTTACTCATTATATTCTCTTCTTACTCATAAATCATATTACTCATTATATACATAAATTTTATTGACATTTATAATAGAAACTTCACAATAGATAGAATGAATGACGTCAACTTTGTCTCTATAAACTTTATTTTCGATAACATGAATCTTCATGACAAACCAATGGACTCCTCCAAAATGGACGCTAGACTAGGTAATTTATTCTGTTTATCAGAAACAAGAAAAAAAATTAAGTAATTGTACCTAGATCTGGAAGTGCATCGAAAAAATGGCGGGGAGGAGCAGAAAGGGAAGGTGAGTATACAACAAAATTCTTCTTTCGTACAGGAGAACCAACGTATTTTCAACAATCCAAATGGACGTCCAAACTAATAATATTTAGAGTGAATGGGGCCAAGATTACTATAGCAACTCCATCGGATGCTCTCTGCTACATATGCACGATTAAGTTATGTTTCACAAAGAAAACTCAAAAGAAAAGGACAAGGAGAAATATCGGAAGCAGGTGAAATTACTTTATCAGCACCAAGACCAAATCGGTCAATGAATAACTATAATGGAACACAGACGCGACAGGCAACCAGCATCGGTCAACGATTCCTGGAAATCAAACCAGAAATTTTTATCAACTATGTATTTGGTGCATCAATTATAGCTTGCAGTTCAGAAGATTTATGTGCACTCCGGCAAAAGAACAACCATAATCTTCTTCCTCGGGATCAGTATGGAAATGTGATTCCTTCACTAGAAGATTGGGATGTTCGGAGATGAATGCTTGGACTTTTTTATACCAGTGGAGACCTGATTTCCAAATCAAGTCTCGAACAATATCAATATACAAAAGAGAAATGAGGAACCATGAGAAAATTGCAAAGCTATTCAGAATAGTTGTACACATTACAGAATGATCGAATTCCATGGACCTGCAAATGAATGATTAATTGACCAAGAATATAGGGAACACTTCAATAATACATATGGTATCACCTATATTAACCCATTGCTTATAGACCATTCTGGAATGGTTGTTCTGTTTTTAAATGGTCGTGGTGTCATGTTTAAGTTGAGTGAAATGACAAAAGACATGCATATCAATAAAATGGAGGATCTTGCGAAATACCTCTATCACCCAGAAATGGTGTGTGCCATTATGGAGGACACCGGTGAGCTGGTACCTAGAGTGCAACTTAAACGTCGCGTAAAGGAAAAGAGGGCAAAGGAACAGTTGGAAAAGGAAAAGTTGGCAAAGGAAAAAAAGTTGGCAAAGGATAAGTTGGCAAAGCAAAAAGATTAGGTTGACATTGCATTTCACTATAAAAAACATTATAGGTTTTATTGCAGAATATTATTAGCGCAGTCATAAATTAACTAATTATAAATTAATATTAATTTGTATGAAAATTTTGTGGTTTTGGTAGTTAAATATGTCAAATGTTTATTGGGTCGACATATATAATTTTTTTGGTGATTTACATCATTTCCTACTTATTCATTTGGAATATGAAAAGATTATTACCTTCATATAATGTTAAATGGTTGGTTCAAATTTAATAAAATGAATAATATTGAAAATGTATCTCGAATATGATAATGTCAATTAACAATCCCTTTATTTAAATATTTTATCTTTGTGTTTCATAAAACAGTTTGTCACTTATTTTAATATATTAAAAAAAATCTATATCGACAATATATTAAAAGACCATGAAGAATCTATAATACATTTGTCGCTCGTTCGATCTTAAAGACGAATTGGAAATTGATGTTCAAAAGCTAATGGATACATCTTGATGGACGATACACTGAATTGATTTTCGATGAGGAATTGGAATGACAACGGTTGGTCTGAAAGGCATTCATCCTCAACCTTATTTAGGTCTTCAAAGAAGTTTCCAGCTCTTCGAAAAGTTAATTTATGTAATGATTGATACCGAACTCTTTAAAAGATTATAACAAATTTTGATTAGATTTTTTTTTCTTCATAATACAATTTTTCTTAAATTCATGAAATTACGAGTGATTTTTCAGTTGGTTAAAAATTTAGGTGATTCCTATTATTTAAATTACTTCAAAAGAAGCATGATGAGTTGAACATTAGATGTTCGACTGAATAATTCATGACATTACAGTCTTTGAGTCATTTCCATGATGATACGTTAAATGGCTTCTGAACGAAATATTTTCTTGAATCATTGTTATAACCCTTTGATAATGCTTGATTATGATACTTTTCACGAGACTTTGCTATCTTTCATAAAATTAGCATATTTTTAACAATAACTCTTTTGATAATTTATCCTTTTTTATTTTTAATTAATATAATTTTACAATTGATTAACATGACACTTCAGTCACGCTGGGGAAAACCTGCTTTTACAGCCCCGAAATTTTTGTTTCTTATTTCACTACGCTCACGATGCGCTAACTATAAAATAAATCTTTATTTTAATATTAAAATCAAATTTTGTTTTTGAAATAATTAAGCGAAGACATAATTATAAAAACAATATCTTGTTGTTATATTATCAATGACAATGTCAAACCGTTCCTACTCCTTTACATGTTTTCCATCATTTGGAGAAATGAGGACGCATCAAGCAATAATTGCGAGAAGTTCGCAATATTCAATTGCAACGAGGAATAAATGTATTATAACTGAATTATAACATACTTAATGCAAATTATATCATTATTAAAAAGACCGTGCAATAATCTGTTGTTAAGTTTTATTCTTTCCTATTGATATGGCAAAACCTATTAAGATATAGAATTTCTAGAATTTAATTTCTAGTTTTTTTTTTTTAGTTCACTTTCATAAAATTGATTCTTTAGTTATTTTTCATGCACGGGAACAATTCAGAGAATTTTATAATAGCCATTTTTTTCATATTAATGAATAATGGAAGTTTTATTGAATATTGGAAGGTGCGATATACTTTTAATTATTATTAGTTAATCTAAAAATTTATTAAAAAAAATATTTTAGATCGGAATTTATTATAAAATTTCATAGTTTAACATTAGAAAAAAAAATAAATAAATAAAATACAAAAATAATTTTGATTTTCTTTGTTACAGTAAGTAAACTTGTTTTCATTCAATTTAAAAATGCTGAATATGAAACCATTGCAAAGGTTATGACTTGACTTTAGTATTAGCTTTTATATATATCAATATTAATAAAAAAAATTTATTAAAATATTTATCTTTCCAAACCCATTTCATATAAATCAAAACACATTTCTCGAAACTTAAAAAAAAAAGTATCAAATAGAAAAATTTTACTAAAACTTACGATATTAAAAATTTAGTAGGCTTAATTTGAAAAAAATTTTCACTTGACATCTAGAACAGCAAATTATTGTTAATTATTCAATTTATTATCTTTTATAGGATCAAAAATTTATCTACAAAAGAGAAAGTAGATTATATTTTAAAGTCATACCAATTAAAATTATCTATATTTATTTACTTCTGTGAAATGTAGAAACTAAAATATTGTTTAGAAATAACAAAATGAACGAAGAGTGTGTTATGCTATTTAGTATTTGTTTCATTGTTAGGTGAAAAAACAGTAATATGCGGGGTGTGCAGCCTCCAAGCCGTGATATGGTGGTGCTGACAGTCTCTTAAATATGGTAGATAAGATTCGTATTATCATACTTGCAAAAATTGAGAAACACCTGTCTTGAGTGACCTCCTCTCACTTAGCGATTACTAAATTAGTAAAAACCCTATTGTTTTACTTCAATTTAGACGAACGGTTCAAAAATGACAGCTATAATTTTTCGATCTATGCGGGAAATCTATTCATGCAAATAGAAAAATCAGTAATTATAAGTTATTGTGCTTTGCAATGATTAATATCAAAATTATTATCAA